ACAACATCATCTGCAACTACCAACACCTCATCTTCAACTACCACAACTTTATTTACAGCTACTACATCTACTACTACCACAACTGTATCTACAAGTACCACAACGTCATCTTCAACTACCAGAACTATATCTACAGCTAGTACATCTACAACTATTCCGATTGTTTGCAATGATATTACAGAAGTTAAATATCCCAATAACACATGCATATTGAAAAGTGAAGCTCAAGTATAATTAAAAATATTTATATCCATCTCTTCTTATTTCTTGTTTTTGTAGAGACATTCATTTGGCATGTTAATAAATAACAATGGCACGTCAAGAGAGAAAGCTGACGCTCTCAGTTTGTATTTTAGTTCAATTGCTCGTCCACATACAGAAATAGATGGAGATTATGTTTTGAACCCTAATGACATTAACGCAATAGTTGAAAATCTCGCTCATCCGAACTATACGATCAACTCAAACGCCTCATATCTGGTGCTACGATCGTTTAATGGAAATGGGAGTAATACAAACTTCGGTGCTTCATTTCTTCATGGTATTGGTGGTGGAATTATCGCAAATCTAAATGATAGTCAAATTTCTAGTATGGATATGTCCATTGCTGGTATCGCTACTAATATAGATTCAGATAAGATTAAATCTCTCAATATACTTATAATTGATGACCCTTATACGTACGAAAACTTTTCAACTTCATCGACTAAAAGACTTGCTTCATCTGTTGTCGTGATGACAGCAGTTCAAAAAAGTGCGTTCAGGTCACTAGTTCCAATGAATATCGATTTATACTTCAATGATCATTCGCATGAAGGTTCAAAAATAATAGAAACATACAAATGTGGTTATTATGATACAACTGCGTCGGCATGGAACGAACTTGGATGTAGTGAACGGGACTTTAACAGCAATTCTAAAGGATACAAATGTAATTTCAATGATACAGGGACCTTTGCTTTCCTTACTTTCAATTGTGATAATATAACTCATACAATATATAAATGCAACTGTGGTTTAAAATCTAACATACAAGTAAAATATGATATATTTAGGTTCTTTTCATCTATATTTTTTTCACATAGAATGATACATACCACGTGATACTTAGTAATAGTACAGATGCCACTATTATAGGCAATGCTATTTCAGGATATATAAGCTCAATTACGAATTCCACTGTCTCCTCAAATACAACCAACACTCTCTCATTAAAAGACATCGATGATGCTATTGATAGATTAATCAATAGTACTGTAAAAAAAGATACAACTGCATCATTTATTATGGTTCAACCACCTAAACAACAAAATACCAGTAATGATATAATCGTTTTAGGTGCTTCAGTTAATAACGATACAGGCGGTCAAGTTGTCGATAATAAAAATAAAAATAATATAACTCAAAATCCACATCTAGTAACGGCAGCTATTATTAATGAAGAACTATTAAATCATGTCACGTCTCTCAATATACTCATTATTAAGGATCCAACACCATTTCTACATGCGGATAATTCATCAAATAAAACACTAGCATCATCACTTGTTATCGTCTCAGTGAGAGGAATAAATGACACCAATGCTGTAAAAAATATTACTTTATATTTCCAACTTTTCAATGAATCCGAGCAAAGAAATGATAGAATATATTTATGTTCATATTATAATACAACTACTTTCACATGGGATGAAGCTGGATGTAGTGTACCCACATATAATACAGATTTGAATCGATACGAATGTAGTTGTAACCATTTTACTTCATTTGCTCTTATCTGGTTACCAAAACAATCACTCACATCATATCTCAATTCTCAAGATATTGCATCACTTGTATTTCAGTCAATCTCAATCATCTGTTTCTTACTAATTATCATTCATGCCATGTTTAGAACAATTCGATTTCCATTAAATACTTTTCAAATATATAATCTACTTCCATTAATATCTAGTGCTACTACAACTATTCTTTTCATCTTTTATATTGCACTTTCGATGACAGTTTATACACAAACATCATCTTCTCATCAGATAAATTGTTTTACAAGTTCAACTGTACTGATGTTCTTCACGTATTTCTTCTTGATTTTTATGTTTTGTGTGAAAACAAGTGTTGGATATTTTAATTATCTTCGTTTTGTTCATTTATTTCCTCAACCATCACATCGAAAACTATTTATAATGCTTTTCATTTCATTCTTTATTTCTCTAATATGGATGGCATTTGCAGTTGGATTTTATTCTGATTCATCATTCGATATTATAAAACTATATCCATATAAATTATGTTGGTTTACAAGTGATGTGATCTATTATTTTTTGAGTATACCTGCATGTTTATTTCTCTTGATTAATATAATACTATTTATTATTGTTGGTAGTCACATAATAAATCATGTTCGAAATGCAACATCCGTTCATCAGTCATACGAAAGAATGAAACGATGTGTCATAGTTTTACTTTCATCATGTATAACTCAAGGAATTGGTTGGTTGTTTGGTGTATTTATTTCGTTTGTAAATGGTGAAAGTGGATATATATTGGGATGGTTTTTTGTAATATTTAATGGACTGGAAGGTCTCTGGTCGATTATTTTATATATGATTATACGATCGCAACATATGGATGAACAGAAACGTATTACTGCTTATAAAAAGTTTACAGAATCAACACCAATTTCAACTGTGAAAAGTAAAGAAACTTATTTTAATGACAGCGTATCAAAACGATCAAAAAAGACTAATAGAAATTCACAAAAAAAATCGCATATTTTCAATAGATCATATAATATTAAAGGAATTGATGGAATTAGTAGTGAATGCTAAAGACAATTAGCTTTTTTAAATAGTTCTGTTTTTTGTAGTATAAAAGAATTGTTTTCGATCTGATATCTTCTTTCATGATTTTCAAAGAGAGAATATATTGGATCACAGCAAATAATGTAATTCAATGGATTAATAAAACATACACAAATGTCTTCATTTGTTCCTGAACTATATACGATCTATATCGAAGTGATTCAATTATGATAAAACAATCTTTTTTGTATTTAATTAATTTTTGAATATATATGTTATATGTCTATTTTCAAAACAATTATAAAAAAATATCATCAAGTACTAAAATATATAACATCTATTTGCTTAGAATATCAAACTTGCAATAATGATTTAATAAAACTCCATCTTTCCGAGAGATTATTTTTAACAATATACATCTAATCCCATATACTTTAATAAATATTTTTCTATTCAAAATATTATCTGCCTATAAAGTATATAATACATCAACATTGAATATCTTGTAGAATTGTGTTTCTTTTCTTTGAGTTTACTTCTATTTTTATCTGAACTCTTCAAAAATGGATTGATCATTCATGAAAGTACTACGAAAAACTGTAGTTACATTTATTAAAGATTACACATAAAACATGTTAAAATGTAGTAGAACTGATAAAACTAATAACGTCCTCATGAAAGTTATTACGATATTTTATGGTATCAAATGATTAGTTATTAATATACAATTTATGCTCCTTTTTTAAATGAAAAGAAACTCATTACTTAACTTTATTTATCTATTGTTTTTCAACATTACTAGCGACATATTTGTAGAGGCATTCTCTCGTGATTCTATTCGTTAAATTTTTATTTCCAATAAATCTGTTTATGCCACGTTTCAATTCAATCCTCATCATCATCACACTCATATTGAAGTTTATTCTATTATTTGCCACATTTACAAGTTTGAATGGCGACTTATCAAGAATTTATAGCTCAAAATGAAGAACGTGATGGTGTGCGTTTTACATGGAATGTATGGCCATCAACTCGCCTTGAAGCAACACGTCTTGTTGTACCACTTGGTTGTCAATTTACACCATTAAAAGAACGATATGATTTACCACCATTAAATTATGATCCTGTTTTATGTACAAATAAAACATGTCGATCTGTTTTAAATCCATTTTGTGCTGTTGATTATCGAGCAAAAACATGGACATGTAATTTTTGTTTACAACGTAATAATTTTCCACCACAATATGCTGGAATTACTGAACAACTTCAACCAGCAGAACTTTCACCTCAATATACAACTATTGAATATACATTAACGGTAAAACAAAATAGATTTTATTTTAAAATTAAAATCAATATTTTTGTTTTCTTTTAGCGTACACCAGCTCAACCAGCTGTATTTTTATTTGTTGTTGATACATGTATGGATGAGGATGATATGACAGCATTAAAAGTAAGTTTAGATATTATTTATTAACATGGAGTGAATATACAACGAAGAAATCGATTGATAAATTGTACTCAATACAAAACTAAAGGATTAAATGGGTTTTTTTTATTCATAGGAATCATTACAAATGGCTTTAAGTTTATTACCAACCGATGCACTTGTTGGTTTAATAACTTTTGGTCGTATGGTACATATACATGAGCTTAATTGTGAAGGTATGACACGTAGTTATGTTTTTCGTGGTACAAAAGATTATACAGCTAAACAAGTTCAAGTAAAACAAATTTATTTAGAAAATAGTTTCGATTATAAATTATTTTGTAGGATATGCTTGGTTTAATGAAACAACAGGGCAATCAAAGACCATTACCTGGCAATCCAAATATGCCACCACAACAACAGCCTCAAAATTTTTTTAGCAAGTAAGAATATAATTAAATATTCTATTGAGAACTCGTCTATTTTTTTTATCTATTAGATTTATTCAACCACTTTCCGCATGCGATATGTCGTTGACAGATCTTCTTGGTGAACTTCAACGTGATCCATGGCCTGTATTACAAGGTAAACGTGCTTTACGTTCAACTGGAGCAGCACTTTCAATCGCAGCTGGTTTATTAGAAGTATGGAATATTTTAAAAATTGAAAATTTTCTTTGCATTAAAAAGAATTTATATTCAGACACTCTATCCAAATACTGGAGCACGTGTAATGGTATTTATTGCTGGTCCATGTACACAAGGTCCAGGTATTATTATTGACGAAGAATTTAAACATACAATTCGTTCTCATCATGATATCGAAAAAGATAATGCAAAATATATGAAAAAAGCCATAAAAGTATATTATGAAATATGTTTTGTATATTTATTTAAATTTTATATTCATTTTTTAGTTCTATGAAGCATTATCAAATCGTTCAGCTGTTAATGGACATGTTATTGATTTATATTCATCAGCTTTAGATCAAACTGGTTTACATGAAATGAAATATTGTTCAAATTATACAGGGTAATTTTGTTTTGATTATAATTTTATAAAATTATTTTCGTTTTTAGTGGTCATATGGTTATGGGTGATTCATTTAATACATCATTATTTAAACAAACATTCCAAAAAGTTTTTGCTAAAGATAATAAAAATGAATATCGAATGAGTTTTGGTGCAACCATTGAAGTTAAAGTAAAATATAATAATTCCTCGCATTGATTTTATTTGATTGAAAAATTTTCTTTTTTTCAAGACAAGTCGAGAACTAAAAGTTTGTGGTTCAATTGGCTCTTGTGTTTCACTTGCACAACGTGCATCAAATGTTTCAGAAACTGAATTAGGTATGGGTGGAACGAATGCATGGAAAATTTGTGGAATTTATCCAAATTCAACATTATCAGTGTTTTTTGAAGTACTTAATCAAGTAAGAAAAAGTTTTATAATTAATTTATCAAATAATAATATTTAATTATTTAGCAACAAGGATCAGCACAAGCTCAACCAGGTGGTCAACGAGGTTATGTACAATTCATTACACAATATCAACATTTATCTGGTTTTAAAAAAATTCGTGTTACAACTGTAGCAAGAAAGTATGTCATTATGATCTCTTAAGTTCGATTTAGAAAAAAAACACATCATTACTATGTCTTAATTAAAAATAGATTATCGATGTCATATGAGAGTTTTTGTATTCATGCCAATTAATCTTGATACATTAGAATCAGGAAACTCTTTTGTTAGTCACACATTAATACGATTGCACTTGAAAAAAATTTACATGACGTAAGAATTAACAAAACTGTTCTATGCCGAGATTAAATGAACCCTGGAGAAAGTTTTTCTTTTTTTTCGAAAAAATAACTGTCTTTTCCAATCGATGTATATGTCTATACTTTTGATGACATACACAGGAAAAAGGAAATAGTGGAAGATATATTTAAAAAATCGGAAATATGCTTGTTGCGTTCAGGTTTCTTTTGTATTAATTAGTTTTTTTTAAAAATAGAACATGAAATAAAAGAGACATATAATCTGTCTTAGAATTATTTGAAAAATATAATTAATTTATTTAAATATGATACTTTTTTTGTTCTAGTTTAATTGATGCAGCAACAAATATGCCAACAATAGCTGCTTCATTTGATCAAGAATGTGCTAGTGTAGCTATGGCTCGTATAGCAGTTTATCGTTCTGATACGGAAGAAGGTTCTGACGTTCTTCGATGGTTAGATAAAATGCTTATTCGACTTGTATGTAATCTCATCAAATTGAATTTTTTTAATATTAATAATTATGTAATCTAGTGTCAAAAATTCGCTATTTATGACAAAGATAATCCGGCTTCATTCCAATTGACAGATACATTTACACTTTATCCACAATTTATGTATCATTTACGTCGTTCACAATTTCTTCAAGTTTTTAATAATAGTCCAGATGAAACAGCATTCTACCGGTATGAAATTAATATTCTATGTAATAATAATACTATTATTTCTTTCTTTATAGACATTATTTACTTGTAGAAGATTTAACCCAATGTCTTGTTATGATTCAACCAATTCTTTATGCTTATTCATTTGGTGGTCCACCGGAGGTAAAAAAAGTTATTTTGAATAAAATTTAAAACCTTATTTTCTCTTGTTTAGCCGGTACTTCTTGATAGTAGTAGTATATTACCTGATCGTATACTTTTAATGGATACGTTTTATCATATATTAATTTATCATGGTGAAACTATTGCACAATGGATTAAGGCTGGTTATCAAGAGTTACCAGAATATGAAAATTTTAAGCAACTTTTACAAGCACCTGTTGGTGATGCAACAGAAATTCTTCAAAATCGTTTTCCTATGCCACGTTATATTGTTACCGAAGCTGGAGGATCACAAGTATATACATACTTTATTTTATTTTGTCTGATATTTAATATTATTTAATTTTAGGCTCGTTTTCTCTTATATAAAGTGAATCCATCCCAAACGCATACTAATTATGGATGGGGACAGGTAAAATAGAAAATTCATATTAATATTACTAGAAAATAATTTTGTTTTTAGGCTGTTGGCGCACCGATTTTAACTGATGATGTTAATTTACAAACATTTATGGAACATTTGAAGAAGCTTGCTGTGTCAACAACGACATAAAAATCTTCTTCAATTTTAGTTTGCTTTTTTTCTGTTATTTTATTTAATAAATCTATTCATGTATGCGTCTTTTTTTGTCGTTTTTAAAGTAAATGGTAAAATCGATTAGCAGTTTTAGAATCTTTATATGTTAAACGAACTGTTAAAAATAATATGCAAATTTTCTTTTTTATGGTTCATTTCCACAAACAATTATACCAATGATAAACTAATACAAGAAATAAGATTGTAGAAAAAAAAATTAGTTAAATAATTTCGATTAATTAAGTCGATTCTAAACCAATAGAAATCGAGTTTGATAATTAGAAAAACGGATATATTAACTATTCTGTTTTCTTAGCTTTTAGCATACTCATGAATCATTAATTGAGATCATTTCAAATACATTGCATAGTTTCAATTCAATAGATATAATTGATATTTCTTGAATTGTCACATTTAACAAGAGAAAAAAGATAATATTAACAATTACGAATCTTCTACACTTATGAAAATTGTATAAATATCATTTAGATAATGGAAATCTGTCTTTTGAAAAAAAAATATTCTTATTACTACCTTAGATTGAATATGAATTACTCAATTTATATGAACGATTGAATAAATAAAAGAATTTTTTTCTTGAGTAATGATAACTCTTAGTTCTTTTTTCATAGTTAATTTAAATATATATGACAACTAAATCTAGTCTTTATCAATGATAAAGAAGAAGAAAAAAATTGTAATGAGATTTTTTTTATTATTATAGCGTGATCAAAAGTTCTTTACAGGACGAAGAGACAAATAATTGTCAATATTTTTATATCGGATTATTATTTGCTTAGCATTGTTAGTAGGAAAAGAAAAAGCTAATATTTTAGCTTAAAATGTGAAAAGAAAATAATTAAAAAGAAGAAATTGTGATACAATGGTCAAGGTCGTGATATAATATAAATAAAAGAAGATATTTGATGTAAATGAAAAGTAATAATAACGGAAGTTGATGACGTTTGAAAAATGATGAATATATACACTTGTTCATTCACAATGATGATCGTGCGTGTTTTTTATTCTTTTTCTTCTATCGCATGTTATTCTAACTATGTCGTTGAATACATACAATCCGATTAATAAATGAAAGCTTACATTATTTCTATAGATGTTGTCTATTTTATTCTATTCAACCCTCAAGCAATCATTTTGTACATCTGATCAGTTAGTTTACGACTTTCTTTCTATTTTTATTTTTACTAGAAATAACAAACAAATCAATACGTGATGTTTTCTTTTCTAATAGAGTAGATAATACCTTGATAAGGTTCTTTTTTTTTGTATGTTAGACATATATATATGTATGTATGTATGTATGACGAATGAAGATGATGATGATGATAATGATGATGGAACTCCCATAATCACATTTCCTATTTTATGAGACACATGCCGACTAACGCTTGTCTTCTCTCTCTCAGCGCATCAGTCAATCAAAAAATCTACTGCTGTGCTGCATGCATACATACACAAGAGAGATAATCGAAAGAGACACTCAATGTACGTTATAGAAAAGTGCCGATGAACTTCATCATGTTCCTCTTCTTCTTCGTCTTCCTTTTTTTTTTAATATAAGTCTATTCTAATAATAAAATGATGATTCAATTGTCGCTTTATTTTACATATATACATAGAGAGGGAGAAAGAATGAGTGTTTCCATTCAAGCAAGCGTTTTTTTTCCTCTCTTCGTAAGGCAAATATTTCCAAGTATCTATATCGTTGCTTCTCTTGACGATGTAGTTCAAGCGAGAAAAAGAGAGTAGAGAGATAATGCTCTAATCGGGACACGACACTTGAAGAAACGGGTAGTAAAAATCTATCATCTCTCGCTCTCGGGAGAGCGAGCACGTCATACTCTAGAAGCATTTTCCGTTTTTCTCTCGTCCTCCTTCTCTTTTTATCATAAAAAGAAAATATAGCAAAAAAAAACTGACAACAATCGAAGCACTCTTCCTAATACATATCGACATCCAGAAAACTCCTCGACCACAATTGTACAATGAATTAATTTTAAAACCAGTTCAGACTCATTAATCATCATAATGAATATTATAATCCTATCATTTTTAATCTTTTTTCTCACTATTGGTAAGAATAATTTAAACGAAATATATTTTTTGATGATTATCAATAAGATTTTCTTTTAAGTCAATTATTCTTTTCAACAAAAATGTAATCGTGAACGAATACATTTATGGAATGCTGAACAACGACTTATATGTGATTTACTTGATAATTATCAAGTTAAATGGGGTCGACCTGTACGAAATATGTCCGAAGATGTTGAAGTACGATTTGGTTTACAACTTATTCATATAAGTGATCTTGTATGTTAGATAGACAAAAGAAAAATTAAGATTAATGAGTTTTTTTTCTGTATTTAGGATGAAAAAAATCAAGTATTAATTACAAATCAATGGCAAATTTATGTATGTAAATATAGATATCAATATATATATATTATGTGTTCTTTTTTCTAGGAATGGAATGATGAAGCATTAACATGGTAATTTTAATAAATAATAAATTTAACCTTTTATTTATGTTTTGTTCTTTATTTCTAGGGATCCAGAGGAATATGGTGAATATAATGGATATAAATAATGCAAAAGAAAATATTATTTTATTTTTAGGCAACCTTATTGATATACGTTTACCCATCAAACGTATTTGGCAACCAGATGTGACGTTATACAACTAGTAAGTTTGACATAAGAATCCAAAAAAACATAAATTTAGTTAACAAACCATCTGTAAGTCATTCGTCTTCTTATCCTTCTTTTTTTGAGAGTTGTTAGAGAAATGACAAAATGCCTTGAGGATATCCATTTACAGGCTCCTATAGAGAGTAACATGCTTATTCATCATAATATTAGCCCAACTTACATTTTCTTTTTAGTGCTGATACACGTCTCGAAGAAAAACGCGAAGTATTAGCAACGGTTTTTTCCAATGGAACAGTTCTATGGAAGCCAATGTCAATTTTTAAGTCGACATGTCAAATTGATATTCGGTAACTAATGATCATTTAATTTTTTCAAAACACAATTTTTTTTCTCGTCTCTCTCTAGACGCTTTCCATATGATAAACAAAATTGTTCGATGAAATTTGGTTCATGGACTTATGATAGTTCCAAAGTAAATTTACAATTTTATCGTGATATACATCAATTTGATCTTCATTCATATGTTATATCCAATGAATGGACTATTACATATAATAATGCTTCACGTAATGAAGAAAAATATGGTATGAAAATAGAAGAAAAAAAAATAATAAATACAAAAATATAATTTCTTTAGATTGCTGTCCGGAAATTTACGTTGATTTAAAATTTAATATCACTCTTGAACGACGTGGAGGATTTTATAATTATATTTTAATTTTACCATGTGTACTTTTATCATGTCTTACATGTATTCTTTTTTGGTTACCAGTAAGAATTATATAGAAACTTTTTACTTATGAATTTAATTTATTTTATAGCCTGAAAGTCCATCAAAATTAGTACTTGGTAAATAAATCATTTTGTTTTGTTTTAATGATTAATAAATTCTTATTTTTTTAAAAATAGGAATGAATATTTTTACATCATTTTTCGTCCTGTTACTTCTTTTATATAAAAATATGCCATCGAATGCAGAACATATTCCACGTATAGGTAAGACCGATATATGAATATTACTATTTTTAATAAACTATTACAAATAATAAGAATGTTCGGAAATGAAGTACAAAGTATTTCCTATTCTCTGTTGGATAGATGTGGCAATAGTAATAAAAAAAAATGCCATAGGAAGCAACAGATCGATATATATATCTTGTTCTTTTTTGTAAATATCATGTTTCCCTTAATTTTTACGATATTTGAAAAGAAATTGTGTTTAACAGAAAAATTCTGATAATGAATAGATTTCCGTTAGATAAAAAGAATTCTAAGGATAAGGAGTGGATTATTCAAGTATTTTGTCTTCTAGTAAAAGAGAGGAAAACAATTAAAAATACTACAACTTTAGTGAATAACGGAAATACGCCATTATATGAAAAGCTAGTGTTCATCTATAAACGAAATGAATAGCATTTATATAATTCCGATGATAGGAAATTAATTATAGATTAAACAATGATCGAATGAATTAAAGAACAAAAGCTATAGACTGTTTAATAATAGAAGAATGATCTGCATAAAAAATGACATGACTTCTCAAGAGAGAGAGAGAACAATAGAGTAAGACTAAGTTGTACATTAAACAATTTATTATAGAAAATACATTGATAAAGTTCACATTTGTGAACTTAGTATAATTTTTATATTTTTAATGTGGAACTACAGGAAAATATTAATTTCAGAACTCGTCATAGAACAAATCGATTATTGATTATTTGGATAATATCTTATTTAACATATTTCTATTTTAATTTATATTGTCAGTTGCAGCTAGGAGATTTTCAACAATCATTGATAGTAATGCAAAGAAATTTATTGTATGATTCAATGAATGTAAGGTTTTTCTATTAGATGATCAGTTGAATAATAATAAGATAAGAACGTGTTCGTATCACATATCATTTATTGGAAAAAAATCGTAGATTACATATGAGATAGTTAATCGCACATAGTACGTATTAGTAATTGAATGATCAGAATAAATCCCTTTAGATTTAATAAATGTATACATGAAATGTCTAATAAAATTTATAGAAAGAAAAATCAAATAGAAATATTACTTATATTGAATAGTCTATATCAAAATTAATTCTTTAGGTGCATATTATTGTTTAAATATGGGAATGATTGCTACATCGACATTTTTATGTACAATAGTTGTTCATATATATTTTCGTGGTCATGGACCAATGCCAACAATATTAAGAAAAGTATGTGGATTATATTTTTTTGTTCATGAAAATAAATTTTTTTTTGTATTAAAATAGATTTTTCTTGAATGGCTTGCTCCATTTTTTCTTATGGTACCACACACAAATGCATATCAACAACATGCAGTCAATGGATTAGTTCCTCCAATAAAAGCGACATGTGATGGTGATAAATTTGAAAAATTTGAATTACTTAAAGAACGTTTTAAATCTGTTGGTGATAAACGTACAGTAGCAACAACAAATGATGATTCATTAGAAACATTAGAAATGATGAATGATCATAATTATCAACATCAACAACAACAACATCACCATCATCATGTGAGTCAAGAAAATTCTATAGCACAACAAATTCAACAACAAATATCAGCATCAATTACATTTATGACTGTTGAAAGTGATTTAAAAGAAATTCGAGATTTTTTACGTACTACAAGAAAACGTATGGAAGATAAAGAAGCTAAAGCTAAAACAGTTAATGATTGGAAACAAGTTGCACTTGTACTTGATCGAACATTCTTTTTTATTTATCTTTCCGCAATTATTATCTGTCTTGTTGTTATGTTTCCTCGATAAATGGGCACGTTTTCTTTTTTACTTCGCGTTCATTTTTTCGTTTTTTGTAAAATTGTTAGTAGTCATTCTTCCGGTAAGATGATACAACGAAAGATATACAAGAAAAAGCTATATAAAACTAATAATAATAATAAATAGAAGTAGAAATAGAAGTATTTTTTATTAGAGATATAATCAATGTTTGTTTTTTTGAAGTTTTATTATAATATAAAGTAAGAAAAAGAAAAGATCGATTGATAAAAATAAATTATCTGTATATTAAACTAAAGATAATATAACGGCTTATTGTCTCTTCACCAATAGGACATCCGTCACTACAATGGGCGAAATTTCAGGAATCACTTAGCGTAAGTACAGTGAACTCTCGCCAACTGTAAGATTAGTATAGAATACATATGAAAAAATTATCCTAATATTATTAGAATAAGTATACTATAGTTTAAATTCTTTAGTAACGTTACTAGGAGCTATTTTTATACGCGTGCAATCGCATAATGAAACTGACGAAAGTGTTAGTCGACGAAAATCTTATTGACAAAAATCAGAAATCCTGATATAATTATATTAGATTAGAAGAAAGTAACATTTCATGATTGAGTTCAATCAAAAAACAACTATCTGTAATTAGAAGAAAAATGTTATTTGAAACATGAAATATTAGAATTCAGTATATTCATTCTGAAGTAAATCGAGAAAAATAATCGAAACTAAAACTTCTGTATGTCTTCGTAGAATTGAATTTAGAGTAAAAATCTCGAAAACTCTTTATTAGTATTCAATATAAAGAGCTCTTATATTTATATAAATCAATATGAAGACTAGTATTCAAAAATGATCATTTCCGATACGAATCTATATAGTAAACTATTCATGTTATATTTTCGTATAAATAGTAAACTTAATTGGGACTTTTAGTTACCCATACTTTAAAAGTTTTATTAATAGATACGAATGAAAATATAATAAGTCTTATAAACTTTCTTGAAATCGTCGTGATAAATAAATTGTACGATCAGGTAAACGACGATCGGCAGATATTAAATGACTCCCTCGTCTAAATAATAGTTTACGTTATTCTTTATTTTTTCAAATTATATTTCTTACGAAAGTCCAATAACTTTTCGATCTGGATGTCGATTAAGTTCTGTTCGAGCATATAATCCCATAAATGAACTATCTTCTGCAGGAAATTTTCGATATACTCGTGGTCCATCATAGACTCGTTCAACTAGAAGAATAAATCGATAAGAAAAAATCTTCAACTCAATTTTTTCTTCTTACAATCAGCGGAATGAGTATTTTCATTAAATTGATATTTAACATCAGTACTTAGTTTCTAAAAAAAATAACTAATTAAATAGTTTTCATAAGATTACCAAAAAAATTTACAATCATCTCATTTGTTGTTGATATAACTTGAACTTCAGTTTCCATATTAGCCATTTGTGATAACATTAAATTCCACTATTAAAGATAAAATAAAATTTTAAATAATTTCAACAGTTAAAAACGATTCTATTTCGATCGATATGAATAAACTTGTTCTACTTACCAGCGTCTTTAGATATTCATCCGATAATGAACTTTGTTCCATAACACCAGCAAATACCATTCTTGAATTTCTTTGAACATACAATACTAACTCATCTCGTTCATTTTCATTATTTTTATCTGGTATATTTGACCAACTAACTTTGACCTCCTGACGATCACTCTTAAAAATTTCTGGTAGTTTTATTACTTCAGGTGCACTTGTTACGGTTGTTGTTCGATGAATAACTTTAAAATTTTCAATATCATCATCATCACTACTTTCAAATGCGTCGATTTCTGTTAAATGAATTCGATCGATAAGATCATCTGGACTATTCAAAAATTCAATTTCGATTGTTTTTTCCATATCATTACTCAATGTTGACGCACGCGATCGTAAATTCTCGAGTTTTTGTTCGTCAGTTAGTGATTCTTCATATGACTTTAAAATTAATGAAATAAGATTAAATTGAAAACAAATAATAATAATAAATAATAACCTGTTTCTCTGCACTTATTTTATCCGAATTACTAGTAATCGACGATAAAACTGAACTTCTTTCTTCAGCAGCACTTGCAGATGATGAATCATCCATTGTATCAGTATCGAAACCTGTTTCTTCAGATGAACAAGATTGATAAGGTTGCACCAATACACCACTACGTTTTCTATCATTAAGTGATGGTGATAGTTCCGAATTAGTACTAAATTGACTTCTTAATGAAGACGAATCATCTGACATAAATGATAAACTATTAAAGATATTTATCGGTGATGTTGTCGTTTTGGTAGTAGTAATATTAGCAGTTGGAGTTGTTGTATTAGTCGTAGGAGATGTATCTATGACATTATGAGTTGATGTTGAAGATGATTTTCGACGAGTATATATACGAAAAAGTGATACACCATTTTTTAATTTAAATTCCGAATCCCATGGAATACATATTAGATCTTCCTATAATACAATTAAAAATTGATGTTCACTCATATTGTTCAACATTATACAATCAGTAATAAAAACTTTAGGTTCTGAATTACTACATTCTATAATACTGAATGAACTCAAATCATTCAAGATTAATCTAATTTGTCAAAGCACTTATAAACAAGGGTTTGATATATTTTTTTGAGAATTATATCGATCTGCAATCAGTCGAATCTCTCTAGAGAAATCAAATGATTTAATTTAATCAATCAATAAATAAAAACGATTTAGTATCTAAAGCTCCAATACGAAATTCTACAGAATGGAATAGAATATATTTTCTGTCTTTTTTACAGAATATACTCACAGGTAAATCTTTTGTTATTTGAAACAGAAGTTGTAAATAAAATGTAGTGTCAAAATCATATGATGAATATAAAATCCTATATAATTAATAAATATTCAATGTATAATCATATTTATTCCTCATACTTTTTATCATATCCAATAAGCCCATCTTTTATTCCATATGCTGATCTTAGATAATTCAGGCAATGTTTACATTCTAATAATACTCGTTGATTACCCTATTGAAATATAAATAGAATAATCTTATTTATTACGTCATTATCATATATACTTTTTTCAATGGTGCATATTCAATAACTGAAAATAGGTAAGGTATTGATCGTCTATGATTCAATACATAATGTACAATAGGTGTTAATGCTCGATTAAGAAATTCATTTATTTTACGATCTTGTCCATAGGTCTAAATAAGAATTTTTTCTTATTATTATTTCGAATTATTATTCAATTTTATTCTTTACTGAATTCACATGGTTCCACGTACCATATAACATATTAAATAAATCCATAATATATTTTAAATGAATCACAGCTTCTTCTTCTGTATAATAATCATGGGGTGCACACAAAAACTAAAATATAAATAAAAGAAATATGAAACTAAATGGTTAAATAGAAAATTCTTTACACCGCTATGTCTTCCATGATAATCATGTACAACAAATGTCTTTTGAAAATATAATGTTTTTGGTATAGATCGAAATAGATCATGTTGAAAATATTGTACAACTCCTACAATTTCACCACAATCCAATATTTTCTAAATTTGAAAAAAATAATATTAAACTAGATTTGCCTACACATTCGTGTAATTACTAGATCTTTCAGTTGTGGATCTGTTGGATAAAAATATATAATAGCTTCTGGTAGGACATCATTATCATCTGTTGATCCTTGCATTAAATAGAAATCAAATAGAAAGAAAAATGGTACTGGAGGCATTGTTTTAGGTGGCATCTTGAATTTCTAAAGCGAATTCTTCAAATAAAGATAGATGACATCCACATTTGATATTAAAATATAGAATAAAAAAGATATTTCGTTTGTTTTTTCTTATCTTTCGTTTTCTTTGCTCTCTGTGACTCAAACAAAAAAAGAACGAATTCTTTACTATACAACTCAATAACATGATGTCATCTGTATGATATAGCAAAATGTTTTATTTAATCAAAAAACAACGCATTCTTTAATAAACTTGTGAAAAATCGTATGGTCATGATGACAAATGATTTCTATCGTTAAATATCTTTGATGATGATAATATATATTGTTGTTAGAAAGAACTTTTCATATACATATTCTTGTACATATTTTTATATTTTAGTTTTCTGTCGTTTGATATTAAGAAAAAAAACCATAAATACGAAACATTACAAGAAATAACAAATAAATGTTCGAGAAGAAGAAGAAGAAGAAACAACAATGATATATATGCCTAAATCTGTTTTATATGGATATATTTATATTGAATAGGCCAATGACACAAGAAAAATAGATTTTATACATGCAACGTTGACATAAATTTTTTTTTGTGTTTAGAAGTACGAACGATGCAAAAAGAAACAAAACAAAACAATTTACATAAATGTTAAAGGATTTGACGTGAAACTATTCGTACTGTTATCAGTGTCAATATTTGTTGATGGCGATAACATTGATAATGTTGAACCATTAGGAAAAAAATCTGGATAAAAATTTTGTCGTTGAAAATAATCATTTTGCCATGATGATAGATCATCGAATGCAGATGATGATGATGACGGAGGATTTGATGATGTATCATCAACTAATAGATCAATTTCATCATTTAAATTATTTATATCATTCATTAATGATGAAGTTGACGGTTGTATAGGTGATGAATCTAAAACAAAATAGTATTATTATGATGAAGATATATATTTATTAAATTTTGAAATTTTACTAAATAAAAATTGATCTAATGGATTGGATGATAATGATAATGATGGTGGTGGTGGTGGAGGCATTGCGGATCGTTTTGGGTGATTTTCCGATAATGATAATGATGGACGAATAGCAAAAAATTTACCATCGGGTGCTCGAATATATGAACCACGAGATCCTTTTATAAGATGAATACGTACACCAGCTGGAATACGTTCACGTTCTGTGGCATTCAATTGAACTTCCAAAGCTAAATAAAAAAAAAATATTTCTAGATATTAAATTTATTCAAATAGAAAATATTTACGATTTTGAAGTACAACTTGTTGTACTGATATTCCATGTTGTTTTAATTGTTCTAATTTTCTATCTGTTGTTTGTTGTTGTACATGGTAAGGTGGTAATGGTGTCATTGATGCTGTTGATCGTAATGGTTGATATAAAGGATAACTAGAATCAAGAGATGATGTTGATGGTGAAGGATGAATAAATGAACGTGGTTCTTGATCAGTAAGTAAACGAGAATAACTAAACAAAAAATAAGATGAATAAAAGAGAATTTTGTTTTTTTTTGTATTTTATCTTACGATCGAGATGGATGAAATCTTGGACGATAGGAAAATGCATTCATTCGTTTTTCATCATGATATTCTTTTTCTGCACGTCGTTTTTCTGCTGATGTTAATTGATATTCTTTACGATCACAAAGAAGAGATTCATGTGTAAATGGAATTTTTGTTATTGATTGAGAATATTGTTTAGAAGTTTTTCTTAACACTTCATCTGTTGTTACTTCATCAATTTTTTCTACGAGATCTGCAGCAGGTAATTCTTCTTCAGTCTAATTAATGATTGAAAAAAAAATCTTTTCGTTCTAATTATTTGAAAAAAAAGAAAATTTTTACCGCAAAATGTATTAAATTTTCGACTTCATTTCTTGTAAATTGATTTTGTGGTTGCATTTCATCAACAACACGATCAGACATTCCTTGTTTAGCTATTTGTCTATCATAAATACGTTTTTCCATAGTAAAATCAGCTATTAATCGATATATATAACAATGTCGTTTCTGTCCATAACGATAAACACGACAAACAGCTTGAGCATCAAGACATGGATTCCATGAAACATCCATTACAATAACTCGATTAGCTGCAATTAAATTTATACCAAGACAACCCGCTCTATATTTAAAATCGAAAAAACAAAACAATTCAAAAATATTTTGTTAAGTCAAAGAATTTTACCGAGTAGAAAGTAAGAATAATTTGGCATTAGAATTTGGTGCATTAAATGCATTAATAAGTCTTTCACGTTCAAGACTATTTGTACCACCATCGAGTCCTAGATAAAAAAAAATAGAGTTTTATTTCCAGGAATATACTTTCACAGTAATTATTGTATTTTCTTTTAAAAGCAATCATTTCAAAAAAATATATTTCGAAAAAATTAAATCTAAGAAGAAAGGGCACTAGGACAAAACGCAAGGGGAAAAATGCGTACTTTTGCACTTCAAGTGAACTTGAGCTACTTTATGCTACTTTTAGCCACTTTGAGCTACTTTTTGACTACTTCGAGTTAGTTTGAACCGCTATGTGCTGCTATTACATATTTTGAGCTATTTTTGTACCTTGCACTACTTTGTACTTGAAATTAACTCTGCATACTTTGAACTACTTTTGTATTTTGAGGTACTTTGAACTATTTTCGTGCTTCGAGCGATTTCGCGCTACTTCCTGCCACTTCTACCTATTTTAAACTACTTTGGTACTTTATAGTACTTTATGCTTTAAAGTACGCATTTTCCCCCTTGACAGAACATCGCAGCTCATTTTAGGGTTCAAAACGGATTGCTAGTAGATCTTTGATGTTGGACAGTGTATGTACGTGGAATGTGGATATTCGATGCACCCTCACTGAGCCATACGCCTACGACGTTCTGTCTGATCGCCGAGACTACTGCATTCATCCACATGTCTACCCACATTCACATCTTCAACGGTACGCCCTCGCTAAAAGATCGAAATAAAATCTTTGTATTATACTCTTTGACCGTTTAATTCTTAATCTTACATAAAACTATTCATCGCTCTATAAATAGTTTTTTTTATTCTGAAAAAGATATTTCCGTGATTTGAATCTAATCAAAAGTCACTTGAATGAATTCTTTTTAATTATGAGTATAACTTACTATAATAATTAATATTTTTTTCCCATTTTTCCTTTGTATTTGGTATATAACGTTGACTAAGAAATTCTTCAAGTTTATTTAATGATAATAAACTTTGACTAAATATATATATATGTAAAAATCATTTTTTTTCTATTTTTCAAAAAACATACCTGAAAATCAAAACTTTGTTATCGACTTCTATACATAAATCTAACATTGTTAATGTCACTTGAAATTTAATTCCATTTATTAATTGACCACAAATGTATGAATTTAATATAGAATTTGCCTTGAAATTTAGAAACAAAAGCTTTTGTTTTTTTCAATAAAATTAATAAAAATTTTAAACTTACAAAATCATAATCGAATTCTTTTTTTTCTAATCCATATCCTATGGTTGTTTGTAGTTCATAAGGATTCGGAACTTGTGGTGATGCACGATTATTTGGAGTTAAACGTTTATTTAATTTTGTTTTATTTGTTGAATTTTGTTCAAGTTCAAAATCTAAATCAACTTCTGAACCTTCCTGACGATCACGTACAAATTTATACAAAACATCTGCATGATTCCATATCTATTATTATTATTGTTATTATAAATATCTTATTTTTTTTAAATAAATTACTTTGCAACAAATAGCAAATGCTCGCAATGGATTTAAAGTTTTCTCTGATGTATTTGATAAAGCACCAACAGCATCAAGAAATCTCATATATAATTGTCTTTGAATATTTGATAATTTCAATAAAATAACAAATTCAGTTTTAGGTGGTAAATCTGTTTGAAGAACATCATGACCACGTCTTTGTATGAAACCTTCTAATAAACTATGTAAAACATGTGCACGAGCACGCATTATTTTTCTATCTTCAACAGTTGAATCAATACACTGACCATTAAGAATAGGACGTTCAAACATATTACAAAATTCAAGTTTACTACCAAGATAATTTGGGCGAACAAAATCAACCATACACCAATATTCTATAGAGAAATAGAAATTTTTATATATCATAAAGAAAAATACTATTGACATTACCGATTAGATTATTTTGAAGAGGATAACCTGTTAGAACAATTCGACGACTAGATATAAAGAAAAAATAATACTCTTAAAAAGTCAATATTAATTATAATAGAAAACAAACTGTGTTCGAATAGATTTTAAAGCAATAGCAACACCAGCTTGATGATTTTTAATTCGATGACCTTCATCGCAAATGACTAGATCCGGATTGAGTAATGCATTTCGTATATCTAAATATAAATTATATTTTTCATAATAGTTATATAACACAGAAGAATTTGCATCAGATCTTTTATGCTACTTGTACAATTCTGTAATTTGAATAAGATTAACTCGTATTTTAGGTTCTCAATATGAAAGTGCAGAGAATTCCTTATGCATAATTAAGTCTCTTTTTTCTCGTTATGTAAAGTTGATTGTCTCGATCTAAAATAAACTTTATATTAGCACAAAACTTCTCTATTGTAAACTTGGATCTAATTTTTCTTTTTTCTTAATTCTGACGTTCTCGGAATACATAATTTTATGACGCGCATTGTAAAAGGAATGCTCTATTCGTGGCAGTTTATTAATATACTGATTTGTATTCTACAAAACTTCTCTATGAAAGAATGTAGTTCGTATTAGAAAGATATTGAATATAAAAACTCATGTGGATAAAATCTATCTATTAAACAACCATAAAAGACATCTGCTGCAATTTTGATTACATTGTAATTTACTACTTTTAAATAGAGTAGACATTCTTTTCTATTATTAATAAGTTTAATAATAGATATAATATAATGTCTGTTCGAAATGCTTTGAATTTTGAAGTCATAAGAAAAATTCGCTAATTATATATCCTTAGTATTATGAGATTTTATTCGTTCGATTACCTTCCATTGTTTCGAAATTTTTCTCTTCTTCTTCAAGATCAACAATAACAGGTGTTATCGGCCTAGATATAATTGATTTATTTGCATTATTTGTTTTTGTTGATGTATTTGTTTGAGTTGGTTTTTTAGTTACCAATAAACGAAACATTTCATAACCAAGAATAAGTACTCCACCTGTTTCCGACCAATTTTGTACAAGTTTTGTACGTTGTGTTAATTTTTTTGATGTGTCATTCAATATATACAATTTAAATAAACGCTTATATTCAAGATTAGGATTATCAACTGGACACCAACGATTAAATTCACTTAACCAATTTTGTATCGTATTTATTGGTACAACAATAAGAACTAATTTTGCTGTTGTATATTGTAATAATATATCAATAAATGTAATGACCTATTGTAAAAGAAATTTATAAATGGAGAAGATTTTTTTAATCTTTACTTGAAGAGTTTTTCCACAACCCATGGAATGTGCAAGTATACAACCAAGTCCAGCTGTTGTTTGAAAACGTTGAAGAGATTCAACAATATTATCATACATAAAACGTATGCCACCAATTTGATGTGGTTTAAGATCAGGACAAAGATGTTTTGCCATGTACAAATCAGGATCCTCACTAGGATGATTCATATTAATCAAAATATTGCCTAAAAATAATTTAAATTTTTTTATTTATTATCGATAGTCATAAAACTTCATCAGAAACAGAAACGATACAAGTGTATTTCTATCCAATCTATACCAGTGGTTATTAAAAAGGTTAGACATTGATTTTTTTAAATAACATACCATTCTCATCTGGTACATTAACTCGATCATCGAGATGTAATCTCTGTAATTTTTGTGTTAGTTTATCATTAATCGTTTCAGTATCACTATCAACACATTGTACATCTGAATCATTACTGTCTTCATTAGTATCGATGGGTTCTTTAATAGGAATATTATCTTCTAAAATACAAAAAAACGATTATTATTATTATCATTAGAAAATAAAATAAATAAACCTGGATCAATTTTTGGTTCTAATGTTTCTTCATCATTGTCATCATCATCATCATCGTCTAAAACAATACATTCATGTTCATTCGATTTTGGTAATGTTGATGATGGAATAAAATTTATTGGCATATTATTATTATTATTATTGTACATTGCATGAAGTTGTTGATTAGTTTCTTCAAGTCTTTTAAGACGATCTTGTTCAGCTTTAAGTGCTGATAATGTATCACCTTGTAATTTATCATTTGTTAATAAATTTCGAATATTTCGACGCATATATGTTGGTTGTGTTTTCGATTTTTTCTTCTTTTTATGTATTTTAGTATCTGATGATTGTTCATGTTTACGTTTTTTTATTTTTAATTTTAATCCATTATCAGATGAAAGATTTGTCACAAGTGTTGATGAATTATCATCATCATCTGAATGTGTATTCTCATCTTCATTAAATAATAAATCATCTAATGTATCCGATAAAGGTGATTCAGCAGCAGCAGCCATGTGTTCTATCTTTGAATATCTTTTAAAATCAAATAAATAACTAGGTAATTATATCATTGAAACATATGCTAATGTAAACTTACTTATTTCTTTCTTTTTTTGTTCCGTGTTCCTATTTATATTTATTATTTATTAGCACTTTCTCTTAAAATTTTCTTATGATTGGTTAAATAATTTCGACCAATAAGAATTTTTCTGGTTTTCTTTTTAATATGTCAAATAAACTATCGTAAGAAAAATAATTATTTATTCGAAAATTAATAGAATATATGTAACAGATGTTAATATATATAATAATAATACGACATTTGTTTGATATTTTAAACACAAAAACATTGTTTACATTGTCGATATTTGAAAAGAGGGTAGAGAGACAATAGAAAAAAAACCCTGTGTTAAAACAATATCAATATGAATTTTACTACATCGTGTTTTATTTCAATCAGATCTGATATTGATCAAAAGATGGAGCTGAATGTTAAACAATTTTCTTCATGAGAAAGAATAATGTTTATTTCATATATATATATATATATACTTTGTTAATAAGATATAGATCGATAACGAATAAGACAATTCCTAGATGTAGAAAATAAAATAATTAGGTTGAAGCGAAATCTTATCGAATGTATTAGAAATATCTGAGGTAAATGATCTTTATTTGAATGACATATGTTATTGAAACCAGTGTAACTGAGCTTTCAGATATGTATAAACATGATCTAGGCAAAAGAAACTAACAGAATAATATGATTATTGATCTAATGTAATATTATCATATCTGCAAAAAGATAAATATCAAGGATGAATGGACATGTTTTTATTAAGTCATATAGTAATATTATATCGTTTGTTGTACGTGTATTTTCAGCTTTAATTGTATCAGTTCAACGTTCTACATTAGAACAAGAATTTGAGGACGCTAATATTATGATTGTGAATATTTTATTTTTAAAAATTACAATGATCAAAAAATATATTCTATCTTCATAAATCAGTTAGATTATGTCTTCTCTCTCTTAAGATGATAAATGAGGACACCTTTGATCATTAGCTATCATCTCACGCATCATTTCTTGTTTCATAGTCGATTGAAATCCACGATTATAATCTTAGCATGTCTTTACATTCAAAAATTTCAAGTTTCATAATGATCTGTTTATATTATCATGAGAAAACATGAACACAAATAGTTTATCATCTACTGTTTCTATATTATTGTACAAGATTTTCATAATGTAATTATTCAGATTGCAGAATTTTAAATAAAGATCATCAGTGATTTATCCAGCGAGGGGGGCACGGGGCTTTTTGCCCTCTCGGAGGGTGCCCCTGCTCCCCCGCAATTCAGAAAAACTACGCTTTTTGCGTCTGAAACTCTACGTTTTCCCCCCCCCCCCCCCCAGAAGAGAGATTTTTGTCCTCCCGGCAGTTAATTTCGCACCTTCGAACGAAAAAAGCTGGATAAAACACTGAAGATCATCCTTTGATTAGATTATGTCTTTTAAAATTTTATTTTTCGTAAACTGTGTTGACATATAACCTTTATACATCTAACCTCACCTATTCAAATCCAATATGGTTGGTTATTTAATCATAGCCAATGAAAGATTCTTATATTTGTCTATTCATCTGATGAAAACTAATCTATGTTTAAGAAGAATTTGATCTTTTATAGAGATAATCATGAGTAAAGCACATGAAGTAACAGCTTGGATTGATTTAAATATTATTGATAAATCATGGGCAAAATCATTAACAAAAGAATTTGATGAGAAAAAAGCTAAATATCTTGTTGAAAGTATGCCAGTACCAAATACTATAACATGGTTAGTCTTCTATTCTAAAATTTTTATTTATTTGTATTGAAATTCTTTATTTAGGTCGATAACAAATGTTGCTAATAATATTGATGAAGAATTTGTTAGTCAATTATTACTTTTAATGACAACGGAACAATTTTTTCAATTTGTTTCCGTATGTAATACGAATAAAAACAATATATCAGATCTATTTCAAACTATTAACAATAAATATAATTCTAAAAAAGCAATTACAATTGTTATTATTGGTGTAAATTCTTCATTAAGTCTTAGTAAATTACTAACACGTTCATCTATTATAAAAACAAATGATTTAGATAATATTTATCTTGATTTACAACTTCAATTTAATTGTATTATAAAATATGCTGAAAATGAACATGATCTTGCAACTTTAATCCTTTCATTTACAAAAGCTATAACAGTTGCACCAGAAAAACGTTTAAAAAATTTATCACCATTTACATTTCATGTTGATACAATGAAACAATATAAAGCAATACGTGTTGATATTGATCAACCGAATAAAACACTTGAATCATTATGGAAACAAATTTTACAACAATTTCCACATATGGGTATTGAACAAGCACAAGCTATTGTTAATCAATATGGAACAATACAAGGATTAGTACAAGCATATAAACAATGTCAAACAGAAAATGAAGCAAAATTATTATTAGCTGATATACAAGTTCGACGTGGAGCAGGAGTTTTAACGACAACAAGAAAGATCGGACCACACATGTCAGAAAAAATATGGAAATTATTTACATCTACAGATGGAAACGATCTTTTATGAGAATTTATTTTTATGTTTTCTTTCTTCATCATTGTATAAAATATTCTTATTTGCCTTGTTCTAGATTAAATCATTTATTTCTCAATGAATATCAATCAATGACATGATAGTCTTGAATCTTATGGTGAAAAATCATACTTTGTATTGTTGTCTTTTTTTAGAATACAACAGATATTTTGTGATAGACTAACATTATTGAGCTTGAAGTTTTTCGGTAGTAGGAGATATCTATTTGTAAAATAGTCGTTAGAGTCGAAGATGATTTTCATGACTGTTATTTATATAAAATATGCTTTCCGATCTATCGTTTTTCGTAGTTTACTATGATAAGCTAATTTTAAATAATATCAAACTATAATCTAAATTGTTTTATGTATAAAAATGCCGCAAATATCGTCTTTGATGTAAACAGATATTATACCGATAGACGATCCGAGACTCGTTAGTTCTATTTTTGCTGCTGTTGGTCTCGATTTGAGCGATGATCTGAATAATCGAATAACATATCAATTTATTCCCAAATTACTATGATAGACATAAGGTAAAATAGAGACCGAAATCCTTGATCATTTGTTAACTCTTCTAATACCATGTATGGACATTTCTGGCCATATGAGTAAAAAATTACTATTCATTATCTTATTATATTGTATAAGTGTCGTAGACATTATACACATATATATATCTTTCGTTTCTTACAGCTTTAGTATATTCCAATTACCATGTGTTCATGATTATTTCCAAGTCCTTTCGGTACTTTCCTAGTTTAGTTGTGTAAATACTATGTGTGACGAGAATCCTAATATATCAAAATAATTAGAATATAAATAATAAAGTTGAGTAGAACTGAGTTTTTTATGATTTCTATATATGAACAAATATTTCCTTGCATGATATTCTACGAAAGTTTTTTCGCACGGTATTAGAAGTGTTAATACGGCAGGTGATTTTAGTATCTAGTTGAGTTTGGAATAGATTCTATTTTATTGATGTAAAATATAATTTTTCTTATTATTATGAGTTAGTTAAAGACTGAAGTATTAAAAAAATATTGCAAGACTCATAAATAACCGTTGTATATGTGTATTTGTGTTGTTTGTTTTCCATTACAGGAACATTTAGCAATTGTTTATTTTTTAATAGTTCGTAAAAAGGATTTTTTTTGGTTTATTCTAAAGGAACGTGGGGGCATGAACCTTTTCTTGTCTAATGATACTTATAGTTTACCATGTTTAGCAAACTTTCATTCTTTTGGAAAATAAGACATAGAAGCTAGTTTTCTATATTACATTAAGGTAATCTATTATAGATCTTATATTAGTAGTCGGAGCATAATAGTCTTCGTAAAACCCTACATCTACTTTTTTTAACACATTCACTCTAGTGATATCTTAGTGATAGAATCCCAAGTTTTTTTCTTATAATGACTTTTTCTATGTTAATTTTATTTCACACATTTCAAGCTCAAATAAATTCTCATGTCAACCGCAATAGACTTAAGGAAACCAAAAGCAAAACTAACTTCCACTCCTACATACCTAATATCTGTAAAAGAATTTTCAGCTCGATGAACCGTCATATCCTAGAAGGAAATGTAAATAAGGATGTCTCTTTGACCCGTTACAATCCTGATATCTTGTAAAAGATAGTACCTAAAAATTGTAAATCAACAATTTCGTTTATTTCTTTTAGATAAAATCATGTTTTTAGTTGCATTTGATTTTGATCATACTATTATCGATGCTAATTCTGATATTCATGTAAATAAACTCTTTCCATCAGATGAAGAACGATTAATTGCAGAAAAGAATTGTTCACAAATTAGTTCTTGGACAACTCGTATGCAAGAAATCTTTCATCAATTACATAAATTTAATATAAACGAAACTGATTATACAAACAATATGCAAGAAATTCCATTAACTAGTGGTTTTTCTCATTTAATTAATTATTTATATTCTTTAGAAAATAGTCATTTAATTATTATTAGTGATTCAAATCTTGTTTTTATTAATACAATATTAAAACATAATCATCTTGATCATATGTTTAAAGATATATTTACCAATCCGGCTTATTTTAGTAAAGATGATCAACGTTTAATAATTGAACCCTATGGTCAACAAACATGTCCAACATGTCCATCAAATATGTGTAAACGAGAAATAATTGAAAAATATGCTCGAACAAAATTTTCTGAAGAAATTCGTATTTTATTTATTGGTGATGGACATAATGATGTATGTGCAGCAAATAGTTTAAAAAAAGGTGATCTAATTTGTGCACGTAGTGGATATCGTATGGCAAAAGAATTAAAACAGCAACAACAATTAGGAGAGAAAAAATTTCAAGCAGATTTTTTTGAATGGAATGACGGAAAAGAAATTGAAGATTTTATTAAAAATAATTGGTTACATAAATTTTAAAAAACCTTTGTCTTTCATATTTTATTCTAGATAATAATTTAGAATGAATTCAATTTTTACTCGATGTTTAATGGTATGTTTTATAAGATAATAAACGATTACTGTAACTTAGAAATAGATACTATATTTATATCAATAGCTACATCGCAATAGAATATGTCAGCGATCTAAGTTATACCACTAATAATTTATTAGGCGTATACTATAAAAAGAAGTAGTAATTTTTGTTTCAGTATGATAGGAAACTGAAACTTTGTAAGCATGAAATGAACTGGTAAATTATATACTTTTTTTTGTTGATTGTGAATAATATTCTCCGACAGATAATGATCTATTCGCATACTGAATGACATTATATGTCATTCGTCTTCGTTAAAGAAAAGTGAAAATGTTCGAAAATGACTCAACGAAAGAAAAACAAACTTCTGTACTTTTTCGTACTTTGAAAACAAAGAAGTCCGTTTTTCACCCCTTGAAATATTGTAAAGATTCACCTAATCAATATATCGCTAATAATACACAAAAAATTACTAAGGAATGTTTAAATCTATTTGTATTAAAGAATTGTCAGTTATTCATGTGAATTCTCTATTAAAAGGCACCTTCTATTCAATGTTTGACACAACGATCGTTGTTCCATACTTCATCGAAATATTTTTATCCATTAATACCAATGGTTGTTGAACAAACAGGACGTGGTGAACGTGCCTATGATATCTATTCTCGTTTACTTAAAGAACGTATAATTTGTGTAATGGGTCCTATAACTGATGAATTATCAAGTGTAGTTATTGCTCAACTTCTTTTTCTACAATCTGAAAGTTCAAAAAAGCCTGTTCATATGTATATTAATAGTCCTGGTAAGTCAATTAATAATCGAAATCTTTCTTATATTTTCCCGTCTAATAGGTGGAGTAGTCACTGCAGGACTTGGAATTTATGATACAATGCAAGTATGTATTTATTAATCTATTTTAAATATGAAATAAGAATTTTCTTCAATTAGTACATTACACCACCGATTGCTACATGGTGTGTTGGTCAAGCCTGTTCAATGGTGAGATGAATTAAACAATAAGAAGAATTTCGAACAACCTTTTTATTCTGTCAGGCATCACTTTTATTAACATGTGGTACACATGGTTTACGTTATTCATTACCAAATTCGTAAGTTAAATGATATGAATTACAATGAAATGAAAATTTTATTTATACTATAGGAGAATTATGGTTCATCAACCTTCTGGTGGTATACAGGTATTTTGTATCGATAATATTTTATCTTAATAGTCATTTATTTTGTATGAAAGGGTCAAGCAACAGATATTATGATTCATGCAGAAGAAATCATAAAATTAAAACGAGTAGTTAATCAACTTTATGTTAAACATACAGGTCAAACATTGGAAGAAATTGGTAAAACAAATCTTATTGTAATTAGTATATATATACATATTGCCTTAATTATAGAAAAATTACTCGAACGTGATAGATTTCTTGATGCTGAAAGTGCTAAACGTCTTGGTCTTATTGATAAAGTTCTTGAACATCCTGTACAAGATATGCAACTTGAAGTTGAAAAACAAAATAAAACAAATAATTAGCTTAATTTTTTTCCTATTAAAAAAAACAAACGATGTTATCAGTTCTTCTAAAATAAAATTTTAACAAGTAATAAAGGGACTTGATTAGAATATGCGTATATATACATTTCTAAATATCTGTGATTGTTAAAATACGATGAAATAAATTTAATTCAAACTATTTTTCAAAAAGCACATCGGAATATGTTATTTAATATATGAAAATAGGTCGAATTGTACCCACGATGAGATTCTATAATATAGATTAATATTTGTCGTGACATCGCATAAAAATGAAGTTTCCTATGGTGTCTCCAAGAAAACATTGATTGTCTCTTTCTGTCATGTTGAAGTCTCAAGTTTTTGTCTTATTAACTGCAACATTCATTAATAATATATAGTTTCATCATGGAATTACCTTTAATCTACATTAAGAGTTCACACGATAGACATGATTATAACGTTATGCACTGTATGAATGGATTATGTATTTTTATTAGATAATGAAAAAAATGAAAAGAAAAAAAAGATTTACTTGTACCCAAGTATAAGTTCTGCAAATGTTTTCGTAATTATGCAAGTACATTTCGCAATAAGCCCATTGCTATTCCACTAAATTCATTAGCCAATGCTGGTGGTAAACCCATTCTATGAGCACTGTATTGAACAAGATGCGATGCTATAGCTTCTCCAGGTATTTCTTGCTGTCGTGCCGGTGCATATTGTTGTCGAGAGTAAGATTGTGCAGCAGGTCGTCGAGAATTATTATTTAAATAAGCTTGCATTTGAGAAGCAACTTTATTAAAATGGTTGCTTGTACCACGGTTCATACCTGTTGGATAGCTCATCTTGCAATATTATTCAACACTACCTATTGCGACACTGGTCTCTCTATGAGTGATATTGCAAATAGAACAGTCGAAAATAGCATTTTATTGCTTGCAATCAAGCATAACAGAAAAATAACGTAACGCATTGATGATATAACAGATATGAAATTCATATTGAATATTTTTTATTATTTTCTATTGACGTCAGTAATAATGAAAGAAAAATAACAAACAACATATTCACAACATTGAAAATAAGTTATTAGATTGCAATTATGTTGTGTGTCTTGTTTTAGTAACAAGAACATCTTTGCTTGGAAAAACACTTGTATTTGCTGTTCGAGGAGTTTTATTTTGATCAGTTAATGATAATGGTTGTGGTGAAGATTGTTTTTGATGTATTCGTTGATTTTTTGCGCCTGTTAAATTTGGATTTCTTTTAACTTTAAGACGATCCTGAACACCTTTTTGCGTTCTTGCAGATTTTGTTTGATAATATGTTTGTGTTGATCCTCTGCAATGAATCAAACGACGACGTAACTGATGGATATCACTCTAATTAATACAAAAGGAAATTTATATAAATTACAAAAAGAATGATAATTTTACTCGAAATCGATTATTAGTAAATCCATATATAATTGGATTAATTGCAGTATTTGATACTGTTAAAAAATGAGCAGTGATATAAAGAAATGTAGGAATAGTTGGATGTGTACAAAATTTTTGATAATTTGTGTCTTGATAACAGATTAAGTTTAAACATAATTGAAATACATTCATTGGTAACCAAAGAATAGTATAGAGTACAACAACTGCAAACGACATTTTTATTCCCTATAACCACAAAAAGAATTAATTCTATATATTAAAAATTCATATGTTATTCGGATGTTTTCTTGTTTGAATAATCTTTATCGTAACAAAAAGATATCTTATTCAGTGAAAAAAAACATAATTAAAGTTCCTGTTACAGTTATGAAGAAAAAAAATTATTTATTCCGTATTGTCAGTTCCGTTGTCATGATTTATTTGAATTGTTAATGAGTTTAAATTTCAAAAAGTTTGGAGTAAACGATCATTAATCTAATCTATAATTTATACATCAAACGTCTCGAATACACTCGAATAATTTCATCTAGTTTATACTCTGCAATTATGACTTGTTAGTTCAAAATCAAAAACTACATAGCATATGATTATAATGTTGACGAATGTACTTTTTTTTTGCAACTTTGCCCGCGGATGTTCATAATGATGAAGTCAATAAATGCACCGGAAACAAAATTCTACATCTACAGATCAAATGTCATACCAATCTACAGTTCTCTTTGAAGGAAAACATTCATAAATAGGTATGAACAATATGATAAAAGTCAATATTTTGGTTTATTATATAATATCGAACGATTTTTATGCACTTAAATTAAGATATACTAATATTATGTCGAAAGGTCATGTAGGAAACTGGGATGAAAAGAACTTTTTTTTTCAACATAAGAGCTATAACTTTATTTTTAGAAGAAAACAATCAGACATATATATGAAAATTAGAATATATATTTAGCAAGAAAAGGATGTACTTTTTTACTCCGAAGTTTTCAACATAATACTGTAATCAAGCAGAATAAAAACTTTCTTATTACGCTTGATAAATAAAAGCACACTCATTTACATATTTATAACAATTTGTTTTTAAAGGTCTATAAACAAATGCATTAATATCGATTTAGATTCTATATAGCCTGATGATCGTAATAGCCAAAATAAATCTTTTACTAACAGCATTTATTATTCTATTAAGAATAAAAATTTTAAAACGGAATTTTCAAAGATTATAAAAATAAAAACACTTATTATTTCAAAGGATTGTTTTTTCCGCAAAATTACTTCCATCGAGTATCTTTTTGTAAATGTTACAACTCAGGTGTGAAAAATTATCTTATCACGCAAAATCCTAACGTCTTGTTAATATTTTTGCGTCATTTTCTTTCCTAGATTAAATCAATTTATTTTTTCAGACATGTTATCAATATAAAACAAGTGTTTGAGTACTATAAGAACTAATTCTATACATACTTGTTTTAATTTTTTTTTAAATTGAATATTTTCATTTGTAAATAAATTTTTACTTGTTGAATTATTAAATTCATAATTAACATCATTTCGTCGTTGCCATAATATAATTGCAATTCGTACATAAACAAAAGCAAGAATAAATACGGGAAAAAAAAATGTTTGTAAAAAATTTAATATTGTTCGTCGAACTTCAATGGGTCGTCCACTTTTATTGGGTAAACATTGTAATGTATCAACAATTTTAAAATTAAGTTGTTCAAAATAATAATTTGATTTTGGTGTATCCGTAAAATTGTCAAGTGCTTGTATATATTCATTTAATAATGTATGAGAATTAACCCATAAACGTTTTTCTATTGTTGGTTTTGAACGTGCAGGTGACCATACTAAAGCTGATATTATACTTACTGTCCATATAACTATAATTGCAATTAAATTTCGTTTTTTTGGAGAATACATTTTAATTGTTAAGGGATATTTAACACAACAATAACGATCTAACGCTATTGTAATTAATGTTAAGAGAACACCACATACAGAAAAATTTTTTAAACTATCAACAATACTGCATAGGGCGCGTGCAAATAGCCAACGCTTAAATATAACTGTTGTTATTGTGAATGGTATACAATACACAGTCATTATTATATTAAATATAGATAAATTCAATAGAAATGGAGTTAGTTCAGAACGAGAACGACGACCAAAAAAGAATATAATTATTGCAATAAAATTTGTACAAAATGAAAATATAATCATTATACCATAGATAAATAAAATAATCATTTCATATGTATATAAATCAGCAAATGATAGGTAAGTTGTTGGAAATTGATGATATAGATCATATAAAGAGAATGTTGATAGAATTGTTTCATTATTAATCATATTTTTAATAAATACCATCATTTATGAAATGTATAAGGAGACGTATTTCGATCTAGAAATACTAATTTATTATATGTTCTACTACTAATCGTTATAAAAGCTTCAACAGATGCTATAAATGACTTACTTCAATTTATATATGAATGCAACTCATTCATTAGTAGAATCTATTTTTTTCTTCTTCTTCTCTTCTTGTTTTTTTTTCTATCTTATCGATGTTTTCTTTCTTCTCCTCTTCTTCTTCTTCTTCTTTCTGTCGATTCCATTAGAAAAGATAGCGCTCATTTTATATCAGCAACAACAACAAAAAAAAAGACGTGTAATGATGAATGGTGGTAAATCGATGCTGTCTATACTCAAGTTTATTGACGAGTCACTATTGATTTGAAATATAAGACAAATATATTATAACATATTGTATGCATGAAAAAGTCTATTTATATACGAAAAAACAAAAAACTAATGAAAAATTGAACAGTATGTGTTTATTCAAATGAATAGCTACAATGAGAATTATATGGTGTGTGTGTGTCTTTCCTTTCTTTGTTTTTGCAAATAATAATCGTGAGCAATTATGTGGGAGAAAAAAAACTAGAACAGGAAGAATATATATATTCGATATTGTCACGCTATTATAAACAATCAGAAGAAAAAGGATTTGTCTATCATTTCCGTTAAATGATTTGATTTATCGTCCTAAAGAAAAACAAAAACAGGTTATCTAATGTTTTTTTCCAACTAAACGAACCGAATTACCACTTTAGACGGATTAATGTAAATCATAGGTATTAGTAAGTATTTTCGCTCGAATAAATTAATTACTTTAGTACGAAGTATCAATTTTTTTCCGCAAGAATTAACCCAAGACATTTCCGTTTTTCTTAGTATGTAAATAACTATTTCTTAGAATTGTACACTAATGAAAAAAAGAATGTCCGGGAGGCATGTCTGTAAGAACCGATCATCTAGGTATTAAAGATTAGCGATTCCATTTTCCACTGATATTAGAAGACTTTTTATTTGACATTACGAAAATATATGGATTCTCTTCCGTTACAATAAACATGAAACTTCCATTCTAATGAACAACATTACATTGTTTTTGCCTAAGCTGACTTAAGAAGAAATTTTGTAGTAAAATATATAGACCAGATCAGTGGCGGATTTAGGGGTGGGCGATCGCCCCCTCCTTCAGAATTTTTTTTTGGTTAAATGAACGTAAAAATAGGTTTACACTACTTCGATTGGACTCAAAAAATAGTTTTTAGTCAAATCGGCCCCTCCGTTCCAAAATCCTAGATTCGCTACTGGACCAGATAGAAAAGAGCGATTGTATATAAATTATAGAAATACTTATCTATGTATGTATACACTTTTACAATCTAATTGTATACTCTCAAAGATTAATTTCATTTTAGATCGAATTACTATAAACAGAATTACAATACTTATTTTCATCTTTAGTTGTGTCTCAATTGAATTGTTTATCATGATGTACTGATTGTTAACACATACAAAAATCTTCGTGATAGATAAAAACTTTGTAAGAAAATATTTAGTAATTAAGTATGACATGTTTATTTATCCTGTAGTAGAATTTTAAACATATATATCTAATCATTAATGTTGTAAGGAAGTCAGTGAGTCTAATAGAAGAATTGTCTGACTAAATATTAAGAAAAGAAAGGAAGAAAGATGACAACGAAAAATTATTCTTGGGAACAAACTATAATTAAATTAGATCCATCAATTAAGTAATCAGAAAGAAATACTATATGTACTGAATTATTACAACCTCGTGTATTATATTTCCGAACGACCCAATTAATGTATCAGTTCCTAATTACATCCTGTTTATATTATTAAGTCCAAAGTTACTAAACATCGCAGTAAAAAAAACGGAAACAGCTATCTCCTCTTTCCTTATCTGTTTGACGCATACTTTTCCATTTGTTTTAATATTTACGATATAATAACTTCTGTCTTGATTCTTTTTTGTTAAAAACTTTAAAAGAAACATGAGTACAAATGTAATTGATTTTCGAACTATCAATTTCCTGATTTCTTGATAAGAATAACACTTGAAATGAAAAGATAAGAGCAGTTATATTTATCATGAGATTCTATTTTTCTTACGAGTTTATAATGACTTTCTATTTTATTAATAATTTAATAAATCTCTTACTTTCAATATTATATACTCAATTCTATTTTCTAATTTTATATAGCAATAAACAAGTTTCATTGTTTGTCTTCACATAATAAAATCTCAATAGAATTCTATTCATTATTTCTTTCTTCTTTTTATGATAATATTGTAAAAGAGCTCAGACAGATATTTTTATTCTAGCATGTTTATTATTTTTCATAGTCGATATTTTCGGTTTATCGAGTTCTCTTCTCTTTCATCTACTTATAATATTACACGAGACATTTCTAGTCGTTATTAACAATTATAAATTTGATACTACTCGACAAAATAAAGAATCTCAAAACTATTGCTTTATGTATTTAATAATAATGACTTTTTTTTAATCTTAGAACCTCGATCAAATGAAGCATTTGATTATCTGAAATATGACATTCTAATTAATATTATTATAAAACCTATCGGCAGCATGTGTACTCATCAATAGGAACAATACAATACTATTTCTTTTTATAGAATTTTATCTGCAATAAAGAGGAAGCTGTACATTTACTCCTTACATTAGATTATCGAAACAGTTAAGGATGATAAAAATAACTATTATGATTTACTTACAAAGTTTTCTAAGATCTCAAATAATTAATAATAAAATGAAGAAAAAAAAGATTGTTTATTCATTCCGAGAAATCAATTAACTCAATGAAAAAGGATACTTACGTCTGTGTTTAAGATTTTCTATATGGAAATTTGATGCATAGATTAATCAAATATATAATTAGAATATTCATCATGTTAAGAAACGAACCTTACTCTTTTCTTTATCGTTATAGATTTTCATTCGAAACCCATCAATATACTATGAATTTTTTCATATCTCGTTTCATAATTAATATTTCTAATTATATCAACCTATAAGAAACGAGACTATCTCTGACGTTTTTCATTACAGAATAATTTGGATCTTCTATTGCCTGTCAGTTTGTAATTATTGCGTGATTGAATAACACAATACATATATATGATAAGAAAAGATATAAATAGAACCTGTCAATCGATATATTCTATTGATTACATTTTATTTTTAAGAATACTTAGAAGGTAATTCAATATCATGAAAAAAACATATCATTCATATTTATATGACTTACATATGTTAACAGCTTTGTTTTCGTAGATTATATTTATGACGTCAATAACGTCTTAAACACGATAGTTTTTATACAGCGTCAATATGCTTCGTTGAATAAAGTATAACAAGGAAATACAATCGTAAATATACTCTTAAAAGGATGGAGAGTGTGTAATTTGTTTTTGTCTCCTACTTTGACTAATTAACAAGAAAAATTGATTATTTCTCTAACATTATATTTAAGCAAGTTAATTTTAGTACAAATCAGTTTTGATCATGATATTAAAATTACTTCTATGTCAATTATTCTGTTCCTAAAATGACACGAGACATTTGTTTTTTAAAAAAATAAAATAAATTTATTACTGTAGGTGTGTCAATTATTCTTATCTTCTACAAATTATATATATGAATGAAATGATTACATACAACTGATAATAATCTAGAAGTGAATTTAAAAAATTTGATGATATACACTAGACTTATCTTATATAAACAGAAAACAAAAAATTAGTTTTATTTCAATGGCGTCTCGGGCCAAATGAATGAATATATATACTTATTTTTTTATAAAAGTAAGACAAAATTTATTATTCTATAGATATAAATAATGAGAGAGTATACTATACGTACGTCATTAGAATCATTTTCGACACTTATAACTAATAAAATGATATCAAGATAACTTCTAATAAATAAGATGTATCAAGTATCAATGTAAAAATACTGCTAATTAACAACAATAATGCATAAATTAGTAAAACTAGACTTCTATAAATTGCCTTTTTTTTGTTTCTTTGAATGTAGTTATTCATTATATATAATGATGTCCCGTAGAGTACTGCTTCAGCCTGCGTAATATGGCATTCTCTACTATATTCAACTGATTTTAATATGTGTATATATAAAAAGATAATTTCATACTCCATAATTTTATAATATGAATATTTTATTTAAATTAAAAATAGTTGAGTACTAAAGGCTACAGGTACTCAATTCTTTATTTTTATCGTTAGTTCAAACAGTTCATTACACTCGACATAGGCTGATATTTTCTAAATAATTACGTACTTATTCAAATAAAAAAAGTTCACGACAAAATTCAGATGTCACTCAAAATCAATAGTAGAAAAATGTCGCTGTTATATTCATTACAGAGGATATAGCTTAGGTTATGATTGATAACGAACTCGATATGGTTTCTATGTAAATAAAAGAAAAGAACATAATCGATAATCAGCTTTTGTTAATCTTCACGCGTCACTTTCAGATGCAAGCCATTAATCCTGTAGATGTTCATGTTGAAAAAGAATGGCGTGTAGGATCAGCTGTTAAGAAAAATGTTAAAACATCAAGTAATACAAATCGAACGGCACCTCGCATGCGTACACAAGTTGTTAACAAGACTAAACCTAAAAAAACCAAACCTATAGTATCACCATCACCTAAAATTCCTAAACAAGTTGTTGTGCCTAAATTAGTTTTACCAGTTCGTTCTTCAAGTTCATCACCAAATCGAGAACCATGGTAAAACAAAAATCGCTGAAATTGTTTTTTTAATTATTTAATTTAGGGTTCCACCACCAGGTCGTTCAACAAAAGGACAAAAAGTTTCTTGGCAGGTTTGTAACTAATTTATTTTTAAACTTTAATTCTTTTGTTTTTTTTTCATGTGTAGAGTCCAGAATCACGTTTAGAAATTAATCCAGTTACGGAAATAATAATTAATGATGGAGACAGTCAAAATATAAAATCTGATAGACAAAATAGCACAAATAATTCTCAGACAAATACTCTTTCGACTTATGAAGATGAAAAACTAATGAGAGAAATTCAAAACTATGAAAAACGTATTCAAGGACTTATTGATGGTATTGGAATGCTTAAAGAACGAGTAAAGAAAATTATTTTATTTATTCATTTTTCTTTTTGAATATATAAACTTTAAAACAGATGCATAATCATGCAAATACTCCTGATCAAACGAATCAACTACGTTCAGATATTGATTCATCTTTATACGAATTAGAACAACTACAACAAGATTATACTAAACGTTTATCTAGCCAAACAACAAAAATTTCTCGTGCACGATCACTATCACCTATTCGTAATAAAAATCGTTCATCAAGTGCTGATGAACAACGACATAAACGAACTACAACACCAAGAGTTTCTTTTCAAGATGATCCAATTATTACAAAGTCTGAGATTGTTTTCTAAGAATTTTATTTTATATGAATTGATTGATTTAGGCGAAGAGCACGTAGTACAACACCAATTAAAGGTCCACTTTATCTTAATCCAGATCGAGAACGATTATTAATATCATTAACTGAATCAGAAGCAGATGTTGCACAAATTACCAAACAATTATCTTCAGTGAATGATATCCTCATAAAACTTAAATTTGTATGTATTAATGTATAAAAATCAATTTTGTTAGCGTTACCTGTAAAGACTGAAATTAAAATTAGTGCCCGGATGTAAGGGAGGAAACAGGACTGAGATTTAGAAAAAATATATATCGAAATGTATGAAAACTAGTGCTTAATAAATTTAAATAATAACATACCAACATGTAGCACATAAAAATTTCTTAGATTCGTTTAAATAAAATTATTCATATGTGATAATATGCACTGGAGAAACTAAAAATCTTATTTAGAAAAAAAGATGATCTAACAATCTTTAAATTCATACCTTCGAGTTTTTAATCGCCGACTAGTGTTAATACGAATACTTTACGTTCATGTCAATTATCCATTACTCTTAATATTCTTATACGTAAAATGATGACATTTTTCTACTTAATTTTTCTTCTTCTTTTCATTAAAATAATAAACACAACTGGTCTTCCTTTACTATCGAATATTTATTTACTTTCATTCGATAGCAATTAAAAACTATAGAAGAAGAAACCTTTAAGTTCAATCTATACATATTATCAAAATATTTAGTAAATATTTGTACTTTATATACAGTCATCTTAACTCTTTTATTGTTTAATATTGAACCAAGAGACAACGTTGTGCGAGCTGAAACAGTTTCGATATATGTACTTATCCCAGCTTTAAAATTAATCGAACTTTTTTCATTAAAAAAAATCTAACCTACTTTATATTCATAAATGAACTTTTGTATGCATGAATCAAGTGTATAAAAATACTTTATGCAATAAACTTGATTTTAGTGATGCTATGAGTACTTTGAAGTATATAAGAAAAGATATGTGTACATATATAAGACTTCTGTTTAGAAAGAAAACATTTCTTTTGTATATAAATTAAAATGTATATATATATATATATGTATTTAGGAAGACAAACCATTATCATTCGAAGTTGAACAACTTTATCAACATCGAAATCAACTATTACATTTGATTGAACAATTTGAACGTTCAAATAGTAAACTTAGAGAATTTCTTCGTCATCAATATCATTTAGAAGCTGAACATGGAATAATTAATGATAAATATGATACATATAAAACACATATACATGAACTTGAAAATGAAAATCAACAGATAAGACATTTATTACTTAGTCGAGAAAATGATAATATTGCTTTACTAACGGAACTTGAACGTATAAGAACTCATACAATTGGTTTTGATACAATGAAAACATCATTAGAACATAATCGTGCTCATCTTCAACGAGAATTATATGCAAGAGAAGGAGAAATTAATCGATTACAATGTATTATAAGAGTAAGATCAAATTTTCTCTATATACTAATAACTTATGGAATATGAATACATTAGTGGATCGAATTATTTTGATTCCATAGTATCGCTTAAGATATATTAAACAGTTTGAGTATAAAAGTAAAATTAGTACTAACTTGGTTAAAATAAGATCATCAATATATATATAAAGAAAAAAGTACTTACACTCTTTAGTAATCATAACTCTAACTTGTATAGATATTATAAATTCTCTAATATATTGTATCTTTCTTTGTAGACATTGGAACGCGATCTTCAACGAAATCGTTTTCCATCGGATAATATTCCTCGATCAAATAAACGTACACCTATGTTTTCTACTTCATCGTGTTCTTCTCCCTTAAATGTTGTCTCTAAAAAGAAAGCAATAACAGTTGAAAAATTACAAGCTGAATTATATAATCGTGATCATCAAATAAATGAATTAAAACAAAAATTAGGTGATAATAAAAGTGAACAAACAGATGATCCAAATTCTGAAATTTTACAATTACGTGCAAAACTTCAACAAGCTGAACTTGTAATAAGTGAATATAAAGCTCAATTACATACTGAAACATTAAAAACATCAGCTAATAATAGTAAAAATCATTTATCTGAAATTGAATTAGAAAGAATACGTGCTCGATTACAAAAACGTATTGAAGAACTTGAACCATTACCTGATCTATTGAAACAAGTTGAATCGAAAAATGAAAAACTTCAAAAACATATTCATGAACTTGAAAAACGTTTTTCTGGTCAATCAATGACTTCTATAGATCGATCTAAAGATAATCATTCATCATTCAATGATGATACTCGAACACTTCAACGGTAAAATGAACTAAATAAAATTCTTTTTCTTTTCTCATACTTCTATTTTAGTAAAATTGTGTCCTTGGAAGATCAAAATGAAGACTTATTAAAAAAACTCAATAAAAAAGAAGAAGAATTACATATTGTACAAGTAAATCATCGATCATTTTTATTGATATTCTGAAGGAAAATAGCACTTAGAAGTCGATTGATACGCGTATTAAAACTAAGAAGAGTCTTTTAGATCGATGAGTTTCTATTAAAACAATAAAAACTTTCACACTGTATAAATTCATTTTTTTTTCGAATATTATTTAGTCTCGTCTAAATTCTAAAACGTATGATATCACATCAATCAATACGCAAATTGATTCAAAAAACACTCATTATCAAGTTCGAGATGATGCATATAGTTCTAAGGTAAATATAATATTTTTTTAAATTTTAAAAAAAGGAACATGTTTTATAAAAGAATACATTTGATCTTGAACAACAAATATCTCGACTTCATCTTGAATATGCACAATTAAAACGAGAAAAAGATGAAGTTGAACGACGTTATACATCACAATTGAGTGAATTACGTGATAAATTAGAACAATCAAATAATACAAATCGAACAATGCAAAATTATGTTAATTCACTTAAAACAACATATACGACTCTTTTTAATGATTCAATTCCAACATCTTTCAAACATTATACAACAACATAAATAAATTTATACAACTACTCAGGGCATTTTCTATTATGCATAAAACTGACAGACATGTATCTATGCTTTTCAATTGAATTATACTATTGTTTGTATTTCGAAAAATAGAATATAGAATTTTGTTTGTTGTTTCTTAATGTTGTAGAGTAGAAATTTTTCGTAATATGTGAAAATCATGACAGTGTTTTTTTCAAAAGTATATATGCGAACAATATACAATAATTTTTCTTTTTGTTAACATGTTTGAAGAACATGCACCTTAATAAACATCAGAATGTTTTAAAGAATATTCTAATATCATTTGTCTTGTGACAAAACTGAGAATAACACATAAACAGTATTCATAATAATAATCGAAACATTAAACTAATTAATACAGCACGCATGTTTACTTGTAAGTATATATATGTTTCGAGCGAGAGAAAGTCCAAGGGTGGGTATGGGTGTGAGTAGTTATATCCTTTAACACCCACACTCTCAAGTTTTTCGTATTATTCATAGATGGTACGACGCCCCCAACGGTGAAATTACTAATCTTCCACCCTTCAGATCATTTAAACTACTTACTCAAACGCACTTCACCAAGCTATTATCAACAATTATTCGTACTAACTCTACAGTCATTGCTGGCTATATGCAACATAAATTATATCTATTGTTCCTAAGGGAATGTTACTTGAATCCGGATTTGCTGAAAGAAAAACAAGCAATGGTATCAACTGGAAGAACATCAAATCGCATTAATCAACTTCTGTCATTCAGTAAAAAATCCCTATTTGATTTTATCTGTGCTAAAATAGTTTAAACGCTAATCAAACTCTAAAGGATATTCGATTACAATGATTGAACTCAAATGATCTTTTATATGAAATCGGTAAATTTTTGCGTGTTTTCTGATTAAACTCCTCTACAGAATAGAAGACTAGTTGACTTCGAATTTGTTTTGAAAGTCAAAAGTTTTGAGATGGGCTTCTATTATGATCAATGTTTTTGTTTTGTAATGATGACTTCATTAGTTTAAAAGCACATATGTATTCGAAGTTATCTTCCATTCCTCATGGACTATCATTGTAGAACAGGTTTCTATTCTGTAGGGAGTTTAAAAGATACGCTGATAGGAAAATATATTTAAATTTACCATTTACTGTTTTCCATTTTTACAGACAAGATCAATTTTCTTTTTCAAAATGTCGATTCTAAAGTTCATGATGGTTTCAAGATCGATATGGTATGTTTTTCTTGAAAAAACATAGCAGCTAATATCATATTCTAACTCTTTTAGTTGGTTGCTATAATGGATGAACCGTTAAATAATTGTCAAGGCTGTAAAAACGTAGGATATAGACTGACGAGGGAAGGTCCCCAAGTGTGAATCGCCGTTTTGAATCGGAGGTATACCAATTGATAGAGCTCAATGAGACTATCAAAAGTCCAGAAGGGTTCGTGCCCATACTCGGCACTTCTTAAGTTTTGGCTGTTTTACTGGATTTTTGACCTCTGACGATGCATATATGAAGCAACCAAAACTAAGCATTTTCGAGCTGAAATTGTTACCATAGATAGCACTCATAGCCATTCGAATGTCCTAAAAATTTCAGCCCGAAATAATGTTTCCTTCTTGAGATATTGGGCATTGAAGTCACCCGATTTTCTGACCTTTGCTTGTGGCACATGATCGTTTTTTAAATATTCAATATCTCAAGAAGGAAACGTTATTTCGGGCTGAAATTTTTAGGACATTCGAATGGCTATGAGAGCTATCTATGGTAACAATTTCAGCTCGAAAATGCTTAGTTTTGGTTGCTTCATATATGCATCGTCAGAGGTCAAAAATCCAGTAAAACAGCCAAAACTCAAGAAGCGCCGAGTATGGGCACGAACCCTTCTGGACTTTTGATAGTCTCATTGAGCTCTATCAATTGGTATACCTCCGATTCAAAACGGCGATTCACACTTGGGGACCTTCCCTCGTGAGCGTTCAAAAAATACCAGCTAGTGAACCACTTGTTAAATATAAACGCAAGGTAAGTTCAATTTACATTTCTAATCACTAAAGCTTAGAATTTCTTTTGTATTTTAGATATACCATCTAGGTTGTGCGAAAGTTCATAGTATTTGTAAAAATTTTGATTTTACCAATTTATCAAAGGTAAAAGGGTGTGGGTGTCTGATAAATAAAAAGTGAAACTTACACCTATATCCACACCAACCACACCCACCACACACACATATATTGTTATGTCCTGATCAGTACATAACAATACATGTCGTTATAGAGATATTCTGGTGTTTTCTATTTGTTAGAATCACTTGAATTTTCTCGATTATGACGTCATTGTTTTCGTGTTAACTATATATTGTCATTTTTTTCTGTCAAATTTCTTATATCTTGATAATGCTACAGAGTTAGCGAAACATGTCGACTCTTTAAATATATCAAATACATTTATTACATTATAATGGTTAGTTTTTTTGCTGCTGTTAAATCTATTATCTTTATTCTTGAATTATTACCTATCAATGAAATTAATTATTAGAAAGCATAATGCTTTATTTGGATGATTTTTTCTGTCAGAGAGTTCCATATTTATCTAGACGCTAATATCAACTGACAGCATACAAATTTGATAAAAAAACGCACTTTTTATGTGTTTATTCTGTAGTATTTTTTAATTTCATATAAAACTGAACTCAGAAATCAATATTGACTTCAACAGAATAATTGTTCTCCTATTTTCAATAAGAATCATCATTTATTTCAGGGTGGATGCGGGTGGATATGAGTGCTATATCCATTACAAACTCACAGCCATAGCCACAACATACCCACCCACACCCTCCTCTAATATTGTCTAACGTGACTTGCTTAAAACATAAAATAGTGAAATTCATGTTTCATCATCCGCTGCTATCATCCTCACCGATGTCACCATCGACGTCATCCTCACCAATGTCACCATCGACGTCATCCTCACCAATGTCACCATTGTTGTTATCATCATCGATATAATGTGTATCGTTGCTGTCATCAGTTTCAACTACATGCAATATTTCATTTGTAGTAAAAAGGCACACCACTTGATTTCTGATTTGTTTTGCATAGTGAAAAACAAATGTGGGCTCATGACACAATGGGGAACTACTGGTCAATGGATTCCTATGAGCGAAAGATAGTTGTAAAAGCATCAGACCCATTTGCTGAGCCAAGCCATCATGTCCTCGACAGTCTTTGTTGTCAGCATGAAACCATTTCATTTGTTGTTGAGCAAACGAATCTTGTATTGCGATTAAGATTTTATCATTCGCTTCTTGGGCAGAAATCGCATCACATGACGCTAAATGAACAAGTAGTCGTCCGGCCAGTAAACGTTCAAAAGAATATTTTGACATAAGTTTTTCATATAGCTGTTCTAGCACGCTTCGATTAGCTATGGTAATAATGAAAGGTAAAATGTCCTGTTCTATCTCTTCATCATCGTCTATGGCGGGATCTAATGCGAAAATAAGCTCCAAAAGCTCAGACGTCAATTCTCCGTAGTACGCAAGATGCTCATAAGATTTTGTTTTATACAATAACTTTTTAAACTGTAGCTCTCCTTGAGGGTTTTGCCGAATTGCCATATGAAAGTTACGAGTTGAGGCTTTGCATAAATGGTCTGCGATTTGTCCATAAATTGAAGCTTGACTGAGCTCATCATATCCTTGACTAGCAATACTCAACGAGTATATGAAGTCTTTCGCAAATACTGGAAGTAACGAATGATGCTTGTTAATATACTCACCTATCTGTTCAACTTTAGTCAATTCATTATATTCAGCTGTATGTGTGCCATAAGCTTCGTCCAATCTGTTACGATATTCTCTCGTTTTTTCATCGTTAAGGTAAAGTGTTCTAATAGCTAGTGTATCAGTGATAATAGCTAACATTTCACGAAGATCAGTCTCAACAGCTTCAGTTGCGATCTTTTGTATAACGCTCATATTATACTCAGTCAAAAGTCGGGGGTCTTTGCAGTAAAAAAGCACACACTTACGCAGAACCAATCGACTTCTTATCGACTCCTGCTTTGATGCGAGAATAATTTTCCAAATAAAAGCTTTGAAGCGTTCCATTAGGGACATATATCTTTTGAATATATATGGTTCGTTGACTATATTATCATGAAAGGGCCCAAAGGACTCTTGTAAAGAAAGCAGATACAGACATCGATTTTCTTCGGTGTTCAGCAATTCAGTATTCGACCCATCAAGGACAGAGTAAATTTCCGAAATGAACGCTTTTGCTAACGATTCATTGCTAGTATCGAAGACAAATTGCCCTAAGATCGACGGATCACTTTGAAGTTTCTTCCATATTACCTGTTGTTCATCTTGAAGTACTTCTGAAGTGTTTTCAGTAAAATTACATTCAAGATGTGCACATATTAGTCGTTGCTCGGCTTGAAAAAGTTGTAGGAGAAGTTCGACTCGATCGATTATTAATCTCTTTAAAAACGAGAAAGGAAACGGACTGGTTTTAGAACGAAATGCTTGTATCATGCGTTCGGTCATATCACTTAATAAAGAAGGATCCGATGATAAAGATATAGTAAAGTGCTCATGTGTTACTTTTCTCAAGAAATCGTCGTTATCTGATTGAAAAATGTCCAGAAGAATAGACATTTGTTGGATATTTTCTATTGGTAATAATCTTGATGCATGCCATGCAAATAGTTTTAGGTCGGAAGACTCTTGATACTGGAACCATTGTCGTATGTATGGATAGGTGTCTGGTTTTGCCACGCTGACTCTATGTAATGCCATGTTGATTAAATTCAGTTTTGAAGATATGAATACGGTTTTCAAATATTCTGTTATAGCATACGCTTGACTTTTAGACAAACAAGGTGGATACCCAGATGGTTGTAGTTTTTGATTTAAGTTCGAATGATCCAAGTTTGCGATGGGCTGCTCTTCAAATTCATCTGATAAGCTTTGTGCATCAATAACAAGTAGGCCTA